AGCGTTGTAAGTCCGCAGACATACCACTGTGAGACTGGGGGGCGATGATATACAACAAAATATTTAAAAGTGAGTATGGATATTATACCAAAACCATAATTAAAAAAATATTTTTTTTCCAATTAGATTCTTTAATAATATATGATTATATGTGATACATATGTTTGGTGATGAATGTTATACAATAATATACTGTGAATATGCTACGGTAAATGTGTATATTTACTGACAATTATGTACGTTGACCAGAGTGTTTGGAGAATGTGTGTATTGTAGGATAATGGCTTCACAAATAAACCGGTCAATATGCACATTATCTAGCGGTAATTATGTTCGTTAACCGGTCAATGTGCAAGCTCATTTCACTGACTATTCAACTATGTACCTTCTCTAATGATATTGGTTATTATACATAATATCCGAAGAATATACACCATATGTCACTTATCCATATTCACTCTAACACACACATACACACATATATATATATATATATATTCAATACATATATTTATTAAATAATGTATATCCCAAAACTGGACAAAAAATTGTGAAGCTAGGTTCTAAACCCATGAAATAGGATAGAGTAACCAGAATATTTGCGGTAACTGTGGCTAACATAAGTGTTTGATAAATAAGATCAAATAGCATTATTTTAGAGTATAACGCGATTCAAACCACGTACATTCAAAACAGAAATAAAACAAGAACATCTTGTAATTAATGAAGTAACAAACAAAAACTATATCTAATAAACATAACTGTCAAGAAAGGGTAGACTGATGAGCACGCCTGAGATTACTGCAGTATAATCAGTCGAGGCTATGAATATAGATGCCAAGGAAAGTATTTCGACTTATTTCGAAGGCCGTTGTAACATCAGCCTTCTGTCATAATCCTATCTGCCATAGTACTTTGATTACTGTGTTCATATACAGACGAAACGCCCATCATTATTGATAATTTGACCATTTGTCCTAAACAATTGGTACTAGATTTCATAGACTGTGTTGTATTGTATCATAGTAGTGCAGTAAATATTATCCTGTAATTCTACTACCATCATAATATATTGTAATGTCAGGCTAGAGCTACACACATCTACTGCTTTGATTATTGAACTAACAACCTAATGCTACGCTCCAATAATAAAGGTTAAAACCCAACAAAGTTACATTTTAATATATCTCAGTATTGATCTAAAATACTAAAACTTACCATGACCACATTATACCACATCTTTCCTCTGTCACCTGTGTCGTCATTCTACTATCACCATGAGATACCATATCCTATTAGAGCTGAGTATACTGTGTCTCATTTTACTATCACCATGACATACCATATCCTATTAGAGCTGAGTATATGGTGTCTCATTCTACTATCACCATGATATACCATATCCTATTAGAGCTGAGTATATTGTGTCTCATTCTACTATCAACATGATATACCATATCCTATTCGAGCTGATTATACTGTGTCTCATTCTACTATCACCATGATATACCATATCCTATTAGAGCTGACTAAACTGTGTCTCATTCTACTATCACCATGAGATAGCATATCCTATTATAGCTTATTATACTGTGTGTCTCATTTTGCTATCAGCATGATATACCATATCCTATTAGAGCTGAGTATACTGTGTCTCATTCTATTATCATCATGATATACCATATCCTATTAGAGCTGAAAATAAATTATGTTCATTTTACTGTCACCATAATATGCTGCCTTAGTATATCTGAAAAATAAAAAATTATCGCCCATCCTTATACTATCACCAGAGTATACTATGTTTTATAGCATAGCAAAAAACACTTCATCGTCGTTCTACTGCTATCCTAATACACCATGTACTAGAAGTGGTGAAATATTATACCGCTATTGTATAGCTTGTCATACCTTAATAGCAGCAAAGAATATTGTACTGTTAATTTATTATCGTCATATCAGTAAATATTTCCTCATTGTTTCACCACTATATGGTGTACTGTATAATAATAATGATTGAAGATATTCTAGTGTTATTGTTTTATCTCCATAATTTTCTGTATTTTAGTAGTCGTTGAAAATATTCTACTGTTGTCATATTTATCTCCACGTGTGCACTGAATCATACTAGAGACATTGGGCTCATCACCAGCCAGTGTTAGAAAGGACGCTTTGCTGACACGTGACACAGTAGTGTTGTATGCCATGTAGGTGACTGACACTATTCAGACTGAAATAATCTCTTAATGACAAGTGTTTCAAATATGAAGTGTGTTAAATTTATTAGATTTCGCGTTTAAGGAAGACTATGTTATACAGAGTTGTTTACGAAGAGTGGGACACATACTATAGAAGCAGCTGTCACAGAGAAAACAGAGATAATAAACATGCATAAAAAAGAGTTATATCAGAAACGTCTAACTTGCTCAAGATGGTAAGCTTGTGAACGTGAATATACTACTGTATAGGAAGCGTGCCTTTCTATTTCGGAATATTTTCTAGCTAATCAGAAATTGTATACTTTGCGCAAAGATATTTCCAAAATACTCAGTATACAGCTAGAAAGTTTTCTGTATTCAATGTATGTACATGGAAATAGGTTTACATGACAGTCTGCTATTACGGATGACTAATATTGTTCCATTTGAGTAGAATTTATTAAACTACAGTAAACAGCTCCAACAGTGTTTGTATTATATAAGTTTCACTTTAAATTTAATACTGATCTTATACAGCTTGACAAACGGAAAGGTAGGATATACTCGGTGAAATAAAGCATCAAATAATCTATTAACAATAAACTTCAAATAATTGTATTTTAAAATAACCATATAGTATTGAAAGTTATTTTTACAGGAATTCTTAGAAAAAGTATTGTGAAAACTTGATTTAATTTATGAAGAAAGTAACATGCTCATAGAAATTGGAGCTAAACATGTAAAGCCTGTTTTCAATATATTCTACATGCTTTTATAAACTTAGTGATAACACTTTTGGAAAGTTCTACAAAGTGTGAAGAGTGATAATACTAAAAAGGTTTTAAAATTCACACAAGCTTTTATCGGTTGTACATAGTAAAACTTTTGTTTATTTTATTCACAAAGTCTCACCAGGTTTACCTGGTTGGCATCATCAAGTAAACCTGGTGAAATGCTGTAAATAAAATAAACAAACGTTTTATTACTGTGTACAACCGATAAAAATGTGTGTGACTGATAGAAGGTGTTTTCCTAAGTGCTGAAAATTATAACACTTATAAAAAAGTATTTAAGTAGTGAATATTAACCTTTAATGTAAAACTGTCATTGCTGAACGTGTTATATATATAATATAGACATTTTTAAACAGGTGTCTTTCTAATTACAATCATTCAGCAATAACAAAAATTGTAATCCATTTAAGATAGCTAGAAACGATAAAATTAAAAAGGAGAAATAGTATGAAACTGCTAAATTAAGCTTCATAATCTTAGCTAAAAGATCAATAGAACATTTTGCTCTAAACGGCAAAAACAAACAACAAACAAGTATTTGGTTTCTCAAGTCTCCAAGCAAAGAAAGAACAATAACGTGGGTTAAAAGACAGGAAAAAGAAATCTGGAGAATTCCTGTTTGTACTTGAGTTTTATCTATGGAAAGAACCTTCACTTACTTTTTTAAAGAAGCTTGTTCATCAGTGTGGGTGTGTTTCAAAGTACATACTTCAATTGCTGTTGAATTTTCTTTAATCACTTTAAGTAATTGTACATACACAAGTATGTCCATAAAACTATTTACATTATCATCATTTAACTTTAACAATTTTACTGCTCTTAAAATCTAGCAGTGAAATTGACAACTCTTCTGGGTCTATAATTTGTAATAATTGGGTTGCCCGTTTCTCGGGTGTCAAAGATTTTACTTGAAATGACACGAGAAAAGTGGATAAAAGTTGACAAAAACAAAATGAGTTCTCAGTTATTGCGAGATTTATCTGAAGATACACACGGATAACAGAAAATATGATTATTATAAATTTCACTGTGTTTAACTCCAAACTTACTGTAGACAGTTTTGATATCTGGAAGGCCTACAACATGTATGAGAGTTTTATGCGTTCCTTTAAGATATGAATCTATGTGTTACTTCTGAGTGTGACACGTGACGAGCTCTCTTACTACTTTAGCTTTTCTCACGCCAGTAGTCCCAATAAAAAAGTATCGTCCAAACAATAAAAACTGATAGAAAACGTCACATGTACCATGTTAACTTGATAATTTATTATTCGAAACTTCCCTCGTTATTTTGCTTGTCAGCAACGTGATACTTTAACGCTCAAAAATTTGAGTAATGCCATTAAATCGGCACCACCACCAAACGTGAACAATGGGCAATGATCTGGATGGCGAAAATCGTGGTGTGAAGGTTACCCTTCTTCAGCAAAAGCGTGACCCTTCGACTATAAATCTAAGGAGAGTTTACTCGCTATGCATGGTTTTCATATAGCCCCTCCTCCTGCCTTTCCATTGATTTTAACTTCGATAAACAAACCAGTTAACAACCTAAGATCACTTTAGTGCAGTTCAAGCAACATCATCGTGGGCCTTAACCAATGGTTTTTAAGCGACAATTTCCTTCGTTTCGGGCCTTAGTTCATTGCCCAAATAGGATGAGTCCTGTTGAAAAACTAAATGTGTCAGACATTTTGAATAAGGCCTCAATGCGTCATTGTTCTCTTAATTAGTTATTACTGTAAAGGGGCGGAACTCAGGTATGACTGACAACCACAGATAGGCTTAGCCTGCATGTCGGGAAAAGCTAACCAATCTAACATTATCCCTTACGTCTGCTCCGTCCTCTTTGTTATGCTTTTAAATAATAGATGTTCGTTGATTGGATGGTTTAAACTCGAGGGGCCAGACGTAGCATTCACATGGCTAACACCCTGGCGCCAGGAGAAGCGCGACACTCCCAGTTGTATAGCGGGTTGTATCAGTTTGGCAAGCCTTGGCAAAAGGGCGCAACCAACACTAGAGACAACAGAGCAGCAGAATTAGCTGTGCACGAGTGAGTGTAGTTTTCGCTATCCATCAGAGCTCTGGTTTGAACGGCGCTGCGGTACATGTGACTCTCAATAGCGCGTGGCGTGTAGTGTTTGTTTACGTCAAAGTATGGAGATAAACTTGTTTGTTGATCGTACGGTTACGAGTTATTGAAATTATGGATTTTTAGTCGAGGAAGATAAATTAACAAATCTCGCTGTGTATTAGCGTGATATGTAATAAACAATTAACTATTATTAATCAGCACAAAAAACTTATGACATTCTAGCCTGTAACTTTAAAGCAACAAGACACTCGAAATGGAAACATTTCGCTAGCTTCTTCCTAGTTCGAGTTAAACATTTATCGCTTTCTCCTGGTATAGAATTCGGAGAGTGACAAAACCGCCACGGTACAGGGTCTCCTGTTGAACCGCTTCAGCCTGGGCGCCCTTCCTTCCTCCTTCATCGTGGATTTCCAACAAACGTACGGGCGAGCTGCTATGGACATGGCCTCCGCAGAGCAAGGCCAGTCCGCAGCACACCGATGGGCCTATGACGGACCCCGTATGGGTACCGGACTGGATGGCTCTGGCAACCTGCTTGCTCCAGACGATGTGGACGTCTTCTTCCATTCTCTGGACAGCAACGGAAACCCCGTAAACCCTGCGAGTTACTATGCGAGTCCAGCAGCTGCTAGAGCCGTTCACGGTTACAGAACACCACATGGTAAGTTTGTTTGCTTCCTAAGTGTCATAACTTGCTCCTTAAAGCTACCTTATTCCTTATGATATGATGACATATTGACTTACTGTGTAAGTAAAAATGTTCTTGTTTTTTTCAGTCATTATATACCATTATCCACGAGATTAAATGTGCACATCGAATAATTAAGGCTTTATAGTTATCAAGTTATATATGACTAAAAAAATTAGATACAACAATAATTATTTTAAATTTTGTATACAACTTACAAGTTCAGATTGGTTAGACTAATATTTTTTACATTGTTGTAAGTGTTGTACAGTTACTGTGTGAACAGGTTAAAATACGATGAACGTTCTGTTCGTATTACTCAAGAATGAGTTAATATTTATTTTCAAGTTAAAGTACACTAAAGTGACTTCGAGTTGTAAAGGTAATAATAATTGTATTATTTTTTACATTTGATGTAGAAAGTTGTGAAGTATACATAAATATTGTGTATGAGGCATAACACAGCTAATCATTGATTTGTTACAGACTAAAATTGATATTTTACAGTTGAATTACAAATGGATATACACAATACATTGTCTTACGAAAGATTCACTAGTTGAGGAACATTTTACTATGTACTAATGCATAAGCTAAGATAAGATATACATGTCATTTTTTATATTTTTAAGATATTTGGATACAAGTACTTAATTTCTCAAATTTATTCAGGTTACCGTTTTAATACCAAGTGTTCGCTTAGTTTCATATCATATATTAGTAAGAACAACAAATAACTGAGTTAATAATTTACAGATGAACAAGTTAGTGTTAAAGTATTGTGTTTAAATAAAAACCCATATATCCATATATATATGTGTGTGTGTGTTAAGAATGTGAAACATACTTAAGTTGTAGTTGTTGGGACGCGAATAACTTAGGTTGTATACATACTAAACGATACATTATGAGAGATATGTTAGGGGACGTGAATAACTTAAGTTGTATTCTTACTAAAATATGCACAATGAGAAATATGTTAGGGGACGTGGATAATGTTTAAACTATCTTTAACACGCGAGAGGACAATTTTAAAATATGAATTGTGCTTACGATATGTTAACGGTTATATGTAAGATAAGGGTTTAGCATTGGGATTATTGCTTAAAATATATTAGCGGTTAAATATAATGTAAACGGTTAACAATATGAATAGTGCTTACATCGTAATATATTAGATAAAGGGTTAAGATTGTAAATGTTGCTTAAGATATATATATGTATAAAGTGATATACGTAACGTGAATAGCTAAGAGTGAAAAGAGCATAAACATTATTTGTTTTTTATACAGCGCATATTTGTAAGTTTATCGGCTGAATTATGGCTGATGAAACTGAATAAAAGAAAATACAACAAGGAATTGAAACATCCGAAAGGGGAAAAAATGTCATTATTGAACTTAATTTTAATTATTCAATAGACCGGTCTTTTATCAAGAAGTCAGCTATGTTAAGTGTGTTATACAATAAGTGTTTTACTAAGTATTTAACCGTCTTTGTTATCGTCAATTATGCCTGACAACTTTCAAACAACCACTGCTTATTTTATTATTACCATTGTTTTGTTAAAATACAAGTAAGTATTACTGTGTTGGAGAAATAAAATGATAAGCAGTATTAAGTGGTTAAAGAAGTTGGATCGTTACTTCATATAATTATAGAGAGGTGTATGGGTAATAATTTACTTCACAAACGAATAATTTGTATAATTATAGAGAGGTGTATGAGTAATAGTTTACTTCACAAACGAATAATTTGTATAATTATAGAGAGGTGTATGGGTAATAGTTTACTTCACAAACGAATAATTTGTATAATTATAGACGGGTGTATGGGTGATAGTTTATTTCCCAAATTAATAATTTGTACAATTATAGAGGGGGTGTATGGGTAATAGATTACTTCACACACAAATAATTTGTACAATTATACAGGGGTGTATAGGTAATAGATTACTTCACACACGAATAATTTGTATAATTATATAGAGGTGTATGGGTAATAGTTTACTTCACACACGAATAATTTGTATAATTATAGAGGGGTGTATGGGTAATAGTTTACTTCACAAATGAATAATTTGTATAATTATAGAGGGTGTATGGGTGATAGATTTCTTCACACACAAATAATTTGTATAATTATAGAGGGGTGTATGGGTAATAGTTTACTTCACAAATGAATAATTTGTATTCCTCTTGTGATTCATTTATTCAAAGATATCAATTAGCAAGCTCGAAATTAATAATTTATCATTTACACCTTATGAATTAGTTCTGTTGTTAATTTAATTAGTATTATCATACAGTTTTTCATGGGTATTCGTTTGTTCTTCTGTTACTGCGAAGTAAAAATAGCGTTCCAGTAGACTGATTGTAACATTCGTTATTTTTAAGTTTTTAACATCTATAATGAAGAATAACACGTTACTCTTGCCATAAATGGATATATATATAACATGTTTCCTTTAAAACTAGCATTTCTTACTGATATCTTCAAAATTATGTTCGTGTCAATAGTTTACAAGTGTCTGTTTCTTGCAGCAACTGTAAAACTATTCAACTGAAAATATCTTTAACCATTACATAATTCTTGTGATAAAATTAAAACTAATTAAGTGTATAAAAACTTCTGTTCCATTGTGTATTTAAAAGTAATGTTAACTGACAGAAAGATGTGCGAAATCAAGATCATATTTCTCAGCTGTATTCAACAATCCCTACACACACTCATTGATCAAACTTTTCAATTATACAAGACAATGCATACACAGACTCACTTCTGTGCAATCATATATTGTTATTTATATATACACACGTGTATATATTTATGCTTCTCCACACACACATGGACTCAATCTATGCATACATTCGTATTAAAACAAATTATAGTGGTCCAGCTCAATCGTCAGTCGGGTACCCTCGCTTTAATCGGCTATTTTAATCACAAACCCAAAAATGCTTTTAAAGTTTTGGCATTGTTTACTACCAAAAACAGCATTTAGTCCTCTCTATGAAGATAATATTTTGGATTTATATAAATTACTGCAAAAATATAAGTTTGTATCTTAAGGATATGATATGCTGAAGGAAACAAACTGTTATATGTGAAGCAAATAAATGTTTGATGTTTGACTTTGGATTAAAATTGATTAATAAAGAAGTGAAATTAACTAAGTAGTAAGGATTAATAGGCAAATGAAAAGTGCTAACTGCGCTGTGTATTCCTTTACTGAAACACATAAAACGAAAGTACTAATTGCGTGGTGTATTTCTTTGTTGAAACACGTAAAACGAAGTGCTAATTGCGTGGTGTAAGGGAGGTAAAGGTTTCTTCTCTTTGAGTGACTATAATAGTATTTGAAGAGCAGAAAATGATTCTGACACCCCTGGTGTGTGTACACCTCCTTCTACTACGGAAAGAGCTGACAACCCGAAATTAAACTTTAATCACAATAGTGCAACCCGCTTGTCAAAACTTAACCATATTGTCAAGCTGGTTTGTAATGTTCGCTTCAGAAAGGCCAGGGTTAACCTACAGCAAGACTGTTTACATTCAGCAGGGGCTCCTGCCCAGCAAGTCAGCGATAGTGATACAGAAAAACACTTTCTGTAAGCAGCCTATAAAAGGCTTTTACAAAACAAGCATGGAAAAGAACTCACAAGTGGCTTTATGTTAAACGATGGCAATAAAATGTTAAGATTTGGTTAGTAAACCGAGAAGTTACTCACAAACAAATAGGATGAACAAAGAATTCACTCCAATGTGTATCCCCCTCTGCTCCATGTCAACTACACATGTTACAAAACAAATAAAACTAGGCCTCACAGGTGCACTGAGGGGCATTAAATAAACAAATGAATGACTTTGAGATTTACACTGTCAAGGGTTAGATAAATTTAATTCTAGAGTATTAATATAAAGCATTTGGAAACAGCTATTTGAAAACTTCGAAACAATGATTTCTTATCTGAAATGATTGTAAAGTATAATTAACACTCACAACTGAGGAATACGGAATTTCGTGTGTTTTTTTCTTGTATTCATTAAACTTCTAAAACACCTGTTCGAAAGTTAAAACGGTCGTAGTTGCGCAGTTTCAAAAAGGTGGGTAAAACTTTCTGCAGATATAGTCAGAAATCATAATACATCCTTTCATGTATTTTATGTCACAAAATGTAAAAATACAAGCAAACACTAGACTACCATATGAGATTATGTATAATAATCAGCTGAATACACTCTTCTTCAACGCCGTGGCGCGCAAACCCTTAATAATCAGCTGAATACACTCTTCTTCAACGCCGTGGCGCGCAAACCCTTAATAATCAGCTGAATACACTCTTCTTCAACGCCGTGGTACCCAAACCCATAATAAAATCAGCTGAATACACTCTTATTCAACGCCGTGGCGCCCAAACCCTTAATAATCAGCTGAATACACTCTTCTTCAACGCCGTGGCGCGCAAACCCTCTGTGGATTCTTCAGACATTTTGCAATTAGTAAGAAACTCAAATGAAGATGTATGAATAAAAATGATATTACTCATTAAAGGATGAGTTTTGAAACGTTTTCCCTTCGTTGCGCGATATTTTTACATTATACAAAAACGAGCATGCATATATGCTAAAAATAAGTGTTAAACACAAACCTCAAACAGTTCGCATTAAGACATTATATGCAACAGTTCTGTTTGTATACATAGAAAGAAAGAGATTAAAATTAAAAGAAATGACAACTAAGCATCTATACATACTGTAGATAAATGTCAACAATCCCCGTAAACAGCTGAAATTAAGAATATCGAATGCTTGGTTACATATACACACGCAAAAGAAGATGATTTTAAATGGACACTCACATGTCAAAATAAAAAATGCGCTACGTTTACCGTTTTTCCAGAAATGTATTATACAAATTCACAGTAACTCTCCTCCCTGTTTCTCAGCAGTACTTCCTTGTATAATTTATA